CATTTTATTTTTTTTAATGGTTTTTGTTTTATTTATGGTTTTTGAGAAAGGGTCTTACTGTGTAGCCCTGTCTGGCCTGGAATTCACTATGTAGACAAAACTGGCCTCTCTGTAGACGAAACTGCCTTTGCCTCCTGAGTGCTGGAATTAAAGGCACAGGCCACAACAGCAGTCTCATGCCCTCACTTTTTAATTTAGAGAAGGAAGGTCTGCTGTTTCTTCTGGAGCAGTGGATGGTGCAGATCAGCCCAGGGCAGCCATTGTAAAGGCATGTTTTGTTTTCTTCTAGGTCTGATTTGGAAGCTGCTTCCTTTGTAACTCAAAACTGTTGATAGTGTGGATGCTTCTTTTCGAATGAGGGTTGCACTTAGGGCCTCCTCCACGCCTTCTTTTGTATTTTGTCATTGTAGCCTTTCTAACCGGGGACTTCTCAATCCAGTGCCCAGATCACAAAGGTGTCTTGAAGGTGAGGCATTATGAAACTGTTTTCCAGAGATGGCCTGATGTCACCTTTTATGTGTAAGCCCTGTTTAGCATAGGAAAACAAACTAGTGTTGTCTTTCAATGTAAGTAGGATCATGATTACTGATGACTAATTCACGCTGAAGCAACCTCCATCTCCTTTGGCTCTGGATGACATGGATTATTGTAATTTGTGAAATACTGTGATTAATCAATGATAGACTCTGGTTAAGGCTTCGCGTTTCGATTCCTGATTTTGGGCCTTGAGAAGGAGAAAATTTGTTCAATTTCATCAAAGAAATTGATATGTTTGCTTGTGTGTATTCAAGAATACATAGTATGTTCTGTTAGATTTCAGTCATGTGAAAGCCTCATTCTATTGTATTAAGCTAAAAAGTAATGTTTTTCTTCTTTTTATTTTTTCTTTTAATTTGAAAAGTTGGTGTTAAACTCAGAACCTAGAACCCACAGCCTTGAACTTGCTGGGCAAAGGCCCTTCCACCGGGCAGTGTCTCCAAGGTCTTTATTTTCTTGAGTACTGTGATTCACAGATTTTACCAGAGTACAGTTTGTTACTATTCAAGTCCACCATGGTACATATGTCTATTTTATAATTTATACGATGACCCCCCCCTCCAAGGATCTCCCTATATAGCACAAGCAAGCTGTGAATTTGCTATGTAGCCAAGCTTGAACTGGAGATCTTCATGTTAGCTAGCCCTGTGGGCTGGAGTTACAGGTATGTACTGCCATACCCATGTGCACATTTTAGAATATTTTCAGATGACGGTGACATACCCAGCACTGCTTTTCCTCACTTCATTGTGTGGCATTCCTGTAGTGCCCCGGTTACCTCTAATGATGAGTGTTGATAAATGATGTCAACAAAAGCCTGTGCTGTGTTTAGATTTATGTAATGAATACCTCCTTTTGTGTCCCACATTGCCTATCTTTCTGGTTTCTACAGTCTGGCATAGTTTCCGAGGCTTGGGTCCCCCCCCCCCCCAATAGTTCCAAGGACATTGGGCAGTTGTTTTGAGTGTCATTAAGTTGGTTTCCTCATAGTAAGATTGGGGTTGTGGGCTGAGGGATGAAGTTCCAGTCTCTCCATATCACGGGCAATGGACTGTTTCATTTTTGTTGCTGTGCTATGAAATGCAACAGAAAGAAACTTTGGGGGTTGTGGATTTTATCTCACAATTTTGGGAGAGTCAAGGCAGGAACTTGCAGGAGCTAGTCACACCCCCAGCTGAGAGTGGAGAATCCATTCATGTGTGCTTACTGCTCAAGTTCATTGCTTGTCCCTGCAGTTCAAGGGCCAGCCATGAAAGGGTGCTGCCCACATTCAGGGCCAGCCTTCCCGCTTCACTTAACCCAGTTAAGAAAGATCTCCCACAGACAGACGTGCTTACAGACCAAGCCTCTCTACCCTGGTCATTTTCGATTGTGTCAAGTTGACGGTTAAACTGTCGTAGACATACACTGTCAGCATGGTTTGCAACTGTATGTTAATCTCGTCACCTGGTTGAGGTATAGGTTTCTCTAAAGTTGATCTTCCTTCTTTCCATCCCTGGTCTTTGGGAAAAGTCATTTTTGGAGCTGGGAGTTGAGCTCTTGCACCTGGAATGGTTCTGTCTCTAGTAGTAGAGGATGCAAGAGGGTGGTGCTTTATCAGAGTTTGAGAATGTGGTTTCCGGATGTGGAGAAATGAAAATTCTTGGGGCCTGCTTTGGACTTAATGATTCATTCTTCTGAGACAGATTGGTCTGGAATCTTCTGTTGAACGGATTTCCCAGGTGATTCTGATCTGCATGGGAAGTTGAGGGCCTCTGCTGTGGATTAACATCCCAGCCTTTCTCGTCACTTGGCTTGTGTGGAAGCCCTGTGCCGCTGTATACGCTGAGTCCCGAGGCTCCATGAAGGAACTTTTATCTTCCTGTGTGTGCTGGCTAGTCTTAGGTCAGCTTCACCCACAAACTAGAGTTATCTGAGCGGAGGGAAAACCTCAACTGAGAAAATGCCTCTGTTAGATCTGGCTGTAAGGCATCTTCTTAATTAGGGATTGATGGGGAGGGCCCAACCCATTGTGGTTGTTTCCATACCTGGGTTGATGGTTCTGGGTTCTATAGCAAAGCAGGCTGAGCAAGCCGTGGAGAGCAAGCCAGTAAGAAGCACCCCTCCATGACTTCTGCATCAGCTCCTGCCTCCAGGTGCCTGCCCCAGCTTCTTTTGATGATAAACAGTGATATAGATGTGTAAGCCTAATAAATAAATAAACCCTTCCCTTCCCAACTTAATTTTAGGTCTTGATGTTTCATTACAACAGGAGAAACCCTAAGTAAGACACTGCCCCTCCCACAGTTTCCACTACCTCAGACTGGCTCCTTTTTTATGAGCCTACGGTCCCTTCTTTCTAGACAGACAACTTCAGTTCTCAGTTTGGTGGTTTCAGATTTGTAGTACAGGAAGAAACTGAATGACAGCTCTGAGACCTACCCTGGAAAGGTCTTCGCCAAGGAATGGAGGTCCTGAAATGCTAAGTCTGTCACCAAGTAGTTGTGTTTCAAGGGAGGGAGGGATACCCAAACCCCGTGCGGACAGTGTTCAAGTAAGTGAGAAACAGTTTGCAAGCTTCTCCAGTGGGTATGCCATGAGATAGCTTCACATCCCTGAGGCAGATCCCCTGGTTGAAGTAGGTGGTGGACAGTGGCCTAAAGTGGCTCTGCGACCTTGGGGTCTGGGTGGTCCTTGTCTCGGGTATTGCCCCTGGAAGCTCTGGGTAGGAATAGGGTTAGCACAGTGATCCAAATCCAGTGCTGAGACCAGGTACCTCCAGGTAAAGAGTTTGCTTGCTTTCTATGTGGTGTGTTAGTCTGCCCTGAGCCTGCTCTGGCTTCCTTTGCTACCCAGGCTGCTAAGCCAGGCCATTCCCCTGGCCAAGGGCTGTGGGAGGCTTTGAGTATGCTTTGGGCAGGAGCTGGCTCGGAAGCTGGCTTGAGGGAGCATCTTGAGAATTCTCTATTGGCTTACCAATCTGAAGTTCTAGAGCTGTCATCTTTGCGGGGGCCGGGGGGGGGGGTGTTTGGCCCTTCTCTTGGGTGCATACAAGGTCATAGCCAAGGCCTATAGTTTTCTGTTCCCATGATCCCCCAGTGTAACTGTAACATAAACGGCACACTCGTTGAGGGTATAGGTAACTGCTTATTGTAGAAATTACTTACAGGAGAAATACAACCAAGATGAGGCAAGTACCGCCACCAAACCGGAAGCTGAAAAGAAAGAGTGCGGAGTCTTTTATTAGAACCTCCGTACACAACTCTAGCCACCAAAAAGTGGGCCTGGCTAGTGGCATAGTTCACTGCCCTATCATTATCACATCCATTTGGGTCTTTAGCGTACCGCATGGCTAATGGCGCAGTCCTAAAGTCTCTTCCTACAATTCCCCTATTAACCTAAAGAAGATATTCAAACTTAAAACAAAACTAACTTGTGTCAATGAACAAAATGTCTCAAACATCTATGCCATCTAAAACTAAGCTTATCTGAAAGAAATACCCAAGTCTGAACATCTCCTTCCACCCCAGTAGTGATATCATTTGAGTGTGAGGTCAGGGAACAGCTTACCGCTCTGTATCTGCAGAATGACAGATGCCTCCTTGCATCCCCTTTATATGAATATGATGCATGGTGCTGCATTTGTGCATTAAAATGCCTGAGTACAAAATCAGTAGTTGCTTTCTTTTCAGTTCATGCTTCTGTTGTAATTGATGTCTATTTTAATCTGCAGATATCTGACAGAAATGCACAGACACACACACACACACACACACACACACACACACACACAGAGAGAGAGAGACTTTGTTGTAAAAAAAAAAAGGCCTCAGGGATTTACTAACACATGATTCAAACTCCTGGTCTCAAGTGATAATCAAGTGATCTTCCCAAGCATTGAGATTTCAGGCGTATGTCTAGCTAGATTTCTGGTGTTAATTTGTTTAGTTTTTGTTTTATTTATTATTTGAGACAGTGTCTTCCTATGCAGCCCAGACTAGCTATGTAGACCAGACTGGTCTTGAACTCATAGTAATCTGCTGGCCTCTGCCTCCAGAGTCCTGGGACTAAAGGTGAGGGCCATCACACACCTGCTTCTGTTTGTAGGTTTTTTTTTTGTTTGTTTGTTTTGTATTTAAAGAAAAATCATCAGTAGTTAGCGATTATAGATGTGAATTTCAGTGGCTTTGTGTGGAATTCACTTACTTGATTCCTGGTGACATTTATGGGGCTGGGAAACATTCAGGGCTGGTTTGTGTAACTGCCTGCCTGCCTTGGGGCTTTCCAGTCACACGGCTGCTGGAAGCCCCAGGTGCCTATGAGAGGGGGGGTTGAGCCAGGGTTTTCTCTATATCTCCTCCATTCAAACTGAGGGGGGGCCTGGCCGGAGGATGCAGGTTCCAGTACATCCTGGACAAGCATGGGGGTGGAGGGTGGGGCAGGCCTGTAGTCAGTAATCTCACCTTAGCCTTCTCTTCTTACAGTCTCAGCAACTCAGAAACTCTCCTCTGAAAGCCGGCTCACCTCTGCTCCAGCCCTGAGTTTGGGATCTAAAGGTTTGTGAAATCAGGGGGTAGGGGCCAGAGGGCAGGGGCTGGTGTATTACAATACAGAGTTCAGAGTTAATTCCCGGGGAAGGGTCCTTAGCCCACCCACATCCCTCTGCTGATGACTTCAGGGGCATTTGTTTGGGGGGGCATTTTAATTTTGATCAGCTATTAGTTCATGCCTAGTATTTCCTTTAAGTGTGACTTTAGTGGCACAGTTAACAATCTTTGCAATTACCGGAGAAATGGCAGTGATTTTCCTGTGATTCTATGGTGGCTGTATGCTGCAGACAGACCCCTTCCTGTTCTCCTGTTAGACCTACCACTGTACCCTGTGGTTCATTGTGTGCACTAAGAAGCCTCGAGGTGACTATATCAAATCTGGTTTTGAATACCGAATTAATAATTGTTGTGATATTTAAATAGCCTGAAACCAAAACCATTTAAAACACCAGAACTCTTGAGAAAGAGTCTTTAGGTTTTGGTATTGTGTCATTTGAAAAAAAAATGAGTAGTAGTTACATGCTTATGGCATAGGAGGACTGGCCTGGCAAGGACCAGCATCATCCTGCTTTCTGATGATGCCCTCGCCACTGGCCAGAGGTACTCTACCTAGGCCTTACGGCAAAGTAACTCAGTTTCCTTACCAAGCAGAACTCTTTCCAGCCTAGCAATGTTTTATCTTCCCTCAGGTAGATAAAAAATATATTATCCAAAGGAACAATGTAAAAATAATTTTATTAAGTTACAAAAGGCTCCATTATTCTTTAAATAAATGAAATTAATTGTTTAAGTTGTCATAGTAGGAAAGTATATATTGTTTCCTGGGCTAAAAACACTAATGTAAATGTGTTTTGGGATAAGTGCTTATTTAATATTCTGGCAGTTGGGTTGGGACTTCTAGGAACAGGAAATGTCACTAACTTTAAAAGATCTTGTGCATTAAGGCTTTTTGGCTCTCTGGGGTACTGTGGCAAAGCAGCCCTTGGCTCTTTTGACCCTGTGTTTAAAGACAAATGCTGTGAAATTCATGGATAAGAATTGGCACACATACTGCTTGCATTTGGCTTCCCTGGGCACAGCATTGTAAATAGCAGAGGTGAGACATTCCCTTCAGTGCCGGCCTGCACAAAGGTACAGTCTCAAAGCACACTGACATGCCAGTAGGAGATGATATTTATTGAGTACTTAATGGGGTTGAGCATTTCATACCTGTTGTCTAATTCGATTCTCTCAATAACCCTGCGAGGCTGCCCTCAGCCTTTAACAGATGAAGTGGCCAGCTTGAAGAAGCTAAGCAATTTATCCAAGTACTAGTCTTGGCAGCTTTGCTCCGGACCATTTTCCTGTGGGCGTGTTATCTTTGCACGCCCCTGCCACCGTGCTTGGCATCGGCCATAGCCATGATGATTCTTGGCGTGTTGTTGCACCTGCATTTTCCAGGTTAATGGATTGTAAAGAGAAGCCTTTTCCTTGGGAGAAGCCTTCCCGCCAGCCTGGTTCTAGAGCCGCATCAGTCCCAAGTAAACACACAGGAGGCTATATTAATTATGAAGCTGTTGGCCTTGGTTGTTTCTTACTGGCTTGCTCTGACTTAAGTAATTACCCCACAATTGTTAATCTAAGTATTTCTCTTACCGGAGAGGTTTCCGGGCTTCCTACCCCATGGTGTTACATCTTGACTCTCTGTGTTTCTTCTTCCCAGAGTCCTTCTGGACTCCTAGTCCCTCCTATCTTGGTTCGCTATTGGCCAACAGTGCTTTATTGACAAATAACAGGACATCCCCATCAATGGATGGTGTCTGGAAGACATCCTTAATTATTTTAGCCGTGCAGTTGGAGTGGACATGCTCCTTTCTCTGTGGCCATGAGTTCCTCATGTTTATCTGTGACTACCCTCCCAGGACTGCTGTTTCAGGCTTCAAGCACAAAACACAGTGATGCTGCCTCAGAATTGGATAGCCAGTCCTGTCTGTCTGGGAAAGAAACCAGCTGTGGATGTCTAAAGAGGATTATAGCTTTGCCAGGTGAAAAGATCGGTAGCTACAAACAGAACTCCCAAGTACTTCAGTGAGACCCAGATTCATCCCTTTTCCTTCCTTTCTTATTTACTTCTATATTTATTTATATATTGCTTTGGGTGGAACCCAGGACCCCAGATAAGGCAAATGCTCTACCACTGTACCACACCTGCCTGATCCAAGACCTTGGTTTCTGAGATACAGTTTTCTGGCACTGCTTATTTATTCGCTTTCTGTGGTATATTCTTGGAATGACTAGGATGACATAGTAACTTTTTTCTTCATTATAGAATGCATCTCTTTATTCTAATTTTTTAAGTGCATGCACTGCCAAGATGACCACAACACACACAGACTCCTCAAGACAGTTGTGAAAAAAGAATCCCTCTCATGTTGAAATTTCTTCTAATTTGCACATTTGCAGTCTTTGTATTTGTGAGCACTGTGTATCATTGTATAATCTCAATATGTGCTCTCTGTCTTACTGCTCATCTTTGTAGTGTTTCTTCCTGTTAGGGCAGGATGGTTGTGGAGTTGCAGGGCCGTCCCTGTGCAAGCCATCTATGGAGTTCAGACCCATCCCTGTGCAAGGCGTCTATGGAGTTGGACACTGAAGCTTTCTTCCAGTAGACATGATGCCTCTTTATACTTCTCTGCAGCAGAGTCCTTTCCTTGCCATAACTCCTAAGAGGAGGCTGCAGAGCTTCTTAGTAGGGATAACTTTATGGCTCTTGATTCATTTTGCTGTGATGGGCCATCAGAGTCACACCAGTATTCAGAAGCACAGAAACAAGGTTTACCCAGTCTTTGCTTCCTTGGAAGTCAGAGTGTAAATGGCTGCTCCACAACAGCATTGGAGTTCATCTCCCCTAGATGATCTTGTCTTAGGTCAGCTAATACCAACACTGCTGCTGCTTCCAGGCAACTAGGATTTGTGACTCTTGTGTTTTTTAGAATTGGTTTCCTCTTAAGCAGTCTTGAATTTCAGGGGTAGTACTGGGGCTCACTGACTTATCCCTGCCTCTTGATGGCTCCCGTGGCCAGCCCTATTTTATGTTTCCTCTGGGGAATGCCACCCATTCTTTGAATGGACTCCCTGAGTGAGAGCAGGTGAAACGCTCTCTTAGTCTTGGCTTATCTTTTTCTCTCAAGAGTGACTGTCCCTCTTGTCGGTAGGTTGTTCTCTCTCTCTCTCTCTCTCTCTCTCTCTCTCTCTCTCTCTCTCTCTCTCTCTCTCTCTCTCTCTCTCTCTCTCTCTCTCTCTCTCTGTGTGTGTGTGTGTGAAGAGTCATGATGACAGAGCAACAAAAGATTAAATTGAGTACAAGAGAGCATGGGCAATCAGGGGACACAGTAAGCTCCAAGTATTTAAGACCACTGCCAATAAAAGGTGGCAGAGTGGTTTATAGTCACCTCTTCTTTTTCTTTCTTTCTTTCCTTCCTCCCTTTCTTTTTTAAAGAAAAATGTTAGTAAGAGTATAGGCTAATGATAAAACGTGTAATACAGTAAATATATATGCTGTGAGCAGTCCTTTCTCATCAAGTGTAAAGTCCTGTACACAATTGCATGTGCACTTACATGTGACTTGTGGCATAGTAGGTGTGTTGCATCAGCATCACCATAAATATATTTTGTCATGTCACCAGGCTGTATGAACTTTTATGTTCCATTAACCCTTATGAGACCACTATTACATTTGTGATCTGTCAATGACTGAAATTTCATTGCATGGCACACAATTATTTTCAGTTAATTTGTTGTGCCTGGAATGGGCAGATAGTCTACCAAAGGTACTGTTTAGATTCTGAATTTCAGAAGGAGATGTGTTGTGACTGGGCTTCTTTGTAGGTGTGCATATTGGGCATGGCATGCCCAGACTCTAGATTCCCAGAGATCAGTAATAGGCTGTGTGTTTTCAGCTGCTGCATTTTCAGCTGCTGCATATGCACTGTTCTATTATGCAGCATCAGGTGACCAATACAGCACGCAGGAGACACCTCTTTTTATTACTTCTTGGTTAGCATTTGCTAACTCCCCCAAATGACTATTCCGATTCTTCATGAGGTTTTTATGGTGTTTTCCCTGATTTTCCAAGAGTACAGAAAAGTTTCTTTGTGGGGTACCTTTTAAGATGTTTTTTTGTATTTTGTTTGTTTTGAGGGAAGTGGGAGGGTGAAGAGGAGATGATTGGAGGGAGGGCTAATGGGGAACAGTGGGTATGAGACGCCACCTTGCTAATGGTATGAACTGCACACAAGTTGTGCGTCTTTTGCAGTTGGGAACCCTCTCTGCTGAGGATGGTCCTAGGCACTGGAAGATGTAGGAGAACTTGGTGCATTCTGGCCTTTACCTGCCTTAGATAATCTCGCCCCCAAGGCCTGCTTTCTCTTCCCACAGTCAACCCACAGTGTGGCGTGCACTAGGGAACCCGGGGATTTGGGGTTTTGCAGGCCAGTGTGATTCTGTCACGCGCCTTGCGTCTGCTCCCATGGCCTGCCTAGGTTTCCATTCTGTTTCCTTCTGCAGTGAGTGCTGTTAGATTTGTTAATAGTTTTTAATGCCTTCAAATCAGTGTAATGGTGGACTAGTCCCTTTGTTTTCTTGATGCGTAATGCTGGCGAGACTCGGGAGTGGAGGGAAGTGTTGGTCTCAGGGAGAACCCCGATGTGTGTAGTGTAACTCCATCCACCTAGGTGTGTGGCCCCCGTGTGGAGACTTAGGTAGGAAAGTGGAGCTTTCATCTCTAAATTGGACTGATGATGACGGTAGTGGATGGAACCAAGGGTTGGTTTTTCCGATACTGAGCACTGTTCCATCCACAAACCATGTTTCGTGTTTCTGTTTTGGAGGGCCTGCAGGGGCTTTAGTCCCTCTAAGTGCTTTCCCATTGCAGTGAGTTCTGTGATGTCGTGCAGGTGAAGTCCCCACTCTGAATGCTGGACAGTCGTGCTTACCTTCCCCTCTCTATATGTGCTGTTGGCTCTGTT